AAAAAAAAAGATTTTAATAAACATACCTCTATATGTACATTAAAAAGTATGATAAGATGATTATATTAAAAAAAAAAATAAAAAAAGGAAAAAAGAAAAGTGATAAAGAAAATCAAATAATGATTCAGCAAAAAAAAAAAAGAAGGAAATTTTAGCATTCTAAAGTTGAACGTTGAATTCACGAAGAATTGTAACTTTGGTTTATCTTACTTTGCTAGCAATTAATTAAGATAAAATTTAATTATTAGCTAAATTAGTTGAAAATAAATGAAAGATGGGGAAAAAAAAAGGAAGGAAATGCTAAAATGAATGTTGAATTGTATTAAAAGAAGCTATACAAAGAAGAATTATCAGATGGATGAATAATTCTTCTTTTAGCTTCTTCTATACAATTCAACATTCTTATCATCAAATTATCATTCTTCTCATAATTTTAGAAATTATTTTTTTTTTTTGAAAAAAAAATAAAGTTGAATTTGCCGTTAAAAAAAAAATTCGACAAATTTAACTTTTCTCAAATATTTCATTAGTCTTTTTTTTTAAAAAAAAAGAAATTGTGAAATTAGTAGTATTAGCAGTTAAAATTTACATTTTCCCACTTATGTTTTTATAAATAGCTTATAAAAACAATACAGCTTAGCTTGTTTAGCTTAGCAATTTGTATAATTATTCAATAAACAATTCAATCATTTCAATGGAAAGGATATGTTTACATTTATGTAAATGCTTCTTCCATTTATTAGAAGTAAATGATATTAATAATTTTTATAAAAATTAATTTGCTAAATAAACAACCTAAAATAATAAGCCAATAATTATGATTAGGCTTTGCTAAATAAATAAGCTAAAATAATAAGCCAATAATTATGGTTAAGCTTTGTTAAATAAAAAATTCTCCAGTTAAATTTGAAAAATTTTTATCTTGAAATATGAATGTATTCTTTATGGTTGCGCAATAAGGCATAACATATGCGGAATTATCCTCAACTTATATTTCTAACATTCATTTAAATCTGGATCATTGGAGACTTAAAGATGGTGACAATAAATTCCATTAGGACAGTAAGTTTTCGTCGAATATCCATTGCTTAGAATAGATGATCTTATAGGATTAAACAAATTTAATCTTAGGCTTAGGCTTTTTTCTTTTCCAATTTCAGCCTTATCTTAGGCTGAAATTTAAAGTTATTCTTCTTCTAGGATGCATATACATGAGAGACTAATGAATCAATTCTTCTCTCATCTCATTGATATACTTTATCTAATTCTTCTTTCAGTTATAATCAATCTGGTATGAGAGATTGTATCAGGAGTATAATATTATTGCTAAGCATAACCTTTAACCTTATTAGGGATATGCATGCTTCTCCCCCGCGATAATGGGATATCGGTGAAGAATTTTCTATAATAGAAAAAATTTTAAAACATACACAAAGATAATATTTAAAATTCCAATTATAACTTATTAAAACATAAAAAGAAAAAATAATTAAAGCTTATGTAAATTTTTAAATTTTGAAAAAATTTAAAATTAAAACTTATGCAAATTTTCATCGAATATTTTCATCGTAAAATATTAATAAATTAAAAAAATTTTTTTTAAAATAATTATAAATTTTGAATTAATTTCGCGTGTAAAATTTTTTTTTTTTGTTTTATTTGCTTCCATTAATTAATTTTAATTTAATAATTTTTATTTGCAAAAAATTACCATTACATACTAATTATTTGTGATATTTTCTTTTTAATCTAATTTTAAATTTAATTTTTATTCATCTAATTGAAATGCATTTTCATTTATTTATAACAAATTAATTGATTTCATTAGTCTTATTAATAGATTATTCTCATTCATAGTTTTTTATATGATTTATTAAATTTAAACAGAAATATTTATCTAAATTGATATTACATTCCTTTTTTCTTCTTTTTTTTTTTTTTTTACTATAAAATACTTTTGTTTTTCTTCCAAAAAAGGAAAAATCAAAATAATAAGAATAGACAAAAAAAAAAAAAATTACAATAAAATAAAGAAAGGAGAAATATTGCATATTTAAAAAAAAAAAAAAACCAATTTAATTTTTTACTTAAATAAAAAATGATCTTTCAATTATTTATAAATGTAATTAATAATTAGTGAAGCAAATTATAGATTGCTTTAATTTCTTCTTTACAATCTTTTTCCTCTAATTTTTAAATAGGAATTTAAAAAAAAAAAAGAAAAAGAAAGAGAAAGAAAAAACATACAAATGACAAATTATAATTTAGAATGTTTTTTTTCTTTTTTTTTTTAAATTTCTAAATGCGAAATACACATTATAATTTTTATTAAAATTAATGCCTTAATTAATTACATACTAATTTGTCAAATTCCTTCTGAACAACATTTATATGATATTATAGAAATAAATGAATAATGAATATTTTTGTAATTGAATATGCTTAATCAATTACAAATAATATATAT